GGAATGCAGGAGCCCACAGAGCCAAGGAGCCCGTGACAAAGGCCACGGCAGTGAAGCCAAGGGAAGACAGGATGAAACTACGACTGCAGAAGTTGGGAAAGAGAAAATCAGATGCCACTAACGTATGAAAATAGGAGAGAGCCTCTCTCCTCTATTCCTGAATGATTTTAATAAATTCAGAACAGTGGGTATGGAGGCTATTTTGGCTCCCAGGTTCCAGGCCTGTAATTCAAACATCTACCACAAGGAGGCAGTAGTGACTGAATTCCAGGCCTTGGGTGATGGCCAACTGGCAGAAAACAAAGACCGTGCCCATTTAAATCTCCAACCAGGTGTCAGGGCCTCCCTGGAGCCTCAGATGTTGGACTAGCATGGGACTAAACTCACTTTCTCGACAGAGCCCTCAGATCTGCCCACCACGAGGTGGGGTTCAGGGGTGGCGAATCTGAGTGGCGCTCCACAGCTCCCCGTGGTGGTTCCCGCACTACGAGGAACAGCAGCAGGACAGCCACCACTCCTAGACCTGGTGTCACCTGGGGAAACAGGAAGCTTCAGGACAGGCGCAGACAGGGACACACTCAGTTCCTGGGCTGGGAAGACTGAGGGTGCCAGACAACTCAGGCCCTAAGACCTTGGCCATCTGGCTAAGTGCCTAAGGACGCCCTACCTAGGACACTGAAGCTGCCACTGGGGCAAGGGGGACTACCAGAGGCCCCTGGTTTGCAAACCTAGCTTTGCTTCCTCTGCTAACAGATGACGGAATTCCTAATTTTCTTTTGGGCAACTACTGCCCCAACTTCTCAACCCGGGTGGTTCAAACAGGATCCTGACTCGGTCATGAGAGTGGTGTTACTATCCTAGCCTCGGGGACTGATCCACAGCAGGCAGGTGACTCAGACACTGTCCCAGGACACTGTTTAAGGACCCAAGGTACTGAAATTTCTATGCAGGGAGGTCAATTTATCAGGAGCTCTCACGGGCTGGTGACCGAAGTTACCATTGAGTTAAGTAAGGCTTCTGAGAAAAGGATGACAGCATTTCTGTGACAACATGGGAATCCTGAATCTGGCTTTACCTGAGGCTCACCCTGGGACCTCCTTTTATGAAAGCCACTATAGTCCCTTTTGGGGGTCCACAGATTTAAAAGGCCTTCTGTCACCTGCAAGCAGAGTTCTGTCTAGCGGGGGCTTCCAGTGAGGGCAGCCGGGCTTCCTGCGGACTCAGGGGAGTGAGCCCTGCCTCACAAAGGGGGTGCCTGAGGTGGGGGAGGGGACCAGCAGAAATGTCACTGGCCTTCCCCAGGCTGTGACTCACCCTCAGAGCCCAGTGCCAGTCCCCAGCCACGTCCTTCACTTTGGAGCCGACGATGTAACCCAGACCGCTGGGGTGAGCAGAGGAAAAAAGAGGGGCCAGCCAGATCAGACGAGTCCCCACACCAGCCCTCCACCTCCCTGCCAGGCCCACGGCCTGCTCACCTGCCCACAGGGATGGCAAAGTAGAATACGCTGAGCATCCGACTCCGCTGGTCCGCCACAAAGAGGTCGGCGATGAGAGTGGGCGCGATGGTGGAGTAGCTGGCCTCCCCGACCCCCACCAGGCCCCGGGTCAGGAGAAGCAGCCAGAAACGCTGGGGAATGAGACACGGGAGAGGTAGCACCCCGCCCTAGGCCCGCCTCCGAAGCTGCCTCACCAGCCGGCTCCAGAGAGGCAGCAGGGATGGCGGGAGAATCAGACAGGCAGAATCAGAGAATCAGACCTGGGCTTGAATCCTGGCTCCACCACTTACTAGCTGTGACCTTGGAAAAGTAACTTAACCTCTCTGAGCCTCAGTTTCCTCATCTGCAAAAGGGGGACAACAACAACCCGTTCGCATAGCTATTGTGAGGACGGGATGATAAAAACCTTATTATTCCCTCGCACCCAGTAGGCACAAGATCAGTCTTAGTTTGCTCACCCACCCAAGGCACCCAGTGGGGAATAATCTTAGGTTGGAGTTTGTCTACCAAAAACATTTGAAGCTAAGGACAAGGCGTGATCACCCGGGGAGAGGACCCAGGGCCTGGAGCTGAGGACAGAGTTCCAAGGCAGAGTGAGAGCAGACGGGGGAAGACGTAAAGGAGCGAGGAAGCAACAGCCCGGGAGGCGGGAGGGAAATCAGAAGCGTGTGGTGTCAGAGAAGCTAGAAGAGTTTAAGGAAGGAAGAAGTGGGTCAATAGCAGCCGACACTCCAGTGGATCGAGCAAGAGGAGGACCAGGAAGTAGGAGCTGCATTTAGCAACCAGGAGGTCATGGCCGACTTGGGCAAGAGCAGGCTCAATGGAGTGGCAGGTGAGGAGGAGGTGAGGAAGTGCAGGAGAGTGAGGGTTCTGCTGGCTGCTCCTTCGCCCACACTGGCGCCAGGCTCCAACAGCCTTTCAGGAAGTCTGGCCAGGAGGGGAAGAGGCAGAGTGGCAGTCCAGAGTGCAAGGACTCAATGGCCAGGGGACGAGGGGATGGGAGAAGATTCTGGAAGAAAAAGGGAGATGCTGTGGGTTGATTAACTCAAGTGAGGAGGGAGAATAAGATGGCATGGACCGAGGAAACACAGAAGGCCCCTAGGTTCTGTCTGAAATGAGTCCAGGGAGTGACTGCAAAGACTGAGGGGGGAGTTGGGTGGCCAGAAGCAGGAGCCAGCTCAGGACCTCACCTCTTGGGGGATGAAGGATGATCCCAGTGTCACCAGGGACCAGAAGGCAATGCCCCCGCACATGAGATACTTCCGATTGTACCTGTCACCCAGGTAGCCAAACACAGGTGCCAACACCATGTAACTGGAGATGAACACTGGGGGGAAGCAGAGAGTCACAGCCCAGCCCCGCCCCTACCCCCACCCTCTCCCCTGCTGGGGGAGGCAGGGAGCATAAGAGATCCCCACCCTTCTCCTCACTGCCCGTCCCTGCATCCCAGTCCTGAAACCTGTCAGAGCTACCTGCCATGAGAACAGCCCAGCTTCAACATCTTCCTGAACCTTCCATTGTAGAAGGACGGCCCCGCTGTTTTGTCACGTCTGACCAACTAGCCGAGAACCAAGTCCAAACTCCTACCATGGCCCACAAGGCCTATCTGACCTAGCCCCTGCCTACCTCTCTGCCGTGCCACTCGCCGCTTTCCCTTCCGTGGTCTGCACTGCCAAGGCCGATAGCTGCTTGAGTGTCGGGGCACCCGCTGTACTCTCTGGGGCATTCTCTCCTCCCCCCGAGCTTCACACAGCTGAGCTTCTTCAGAATCCAACTCGAACGAAACCTTCCCAGACCACCACACATCTAGTCCCTGTCAACTGCATGCTTTTTCATAAACACTCTTCCCTGTGGAAAACGGTCTCATCGACCGTTGCCCCTTCGTCCACAAGGAACGTCAGCCCTGCCAAGGCAAGACCTTGCCTGTATCGGCCATAACTGCATTTCTATCACTTAATACACAGCCAAGCACAAGACAGAGACATGACAGACGCATGTTAAACGAAGAAGTGAATAAACGGGACTGCTTAGAAAGACTTCCTTATTTCCTAATTCAGCAACCTTGCAGAGGTCTGCAGACCTTGACCTCTGATCCTCTGACCTAGGATTCTTATTTCTCCAGACATCGCCTTAGTACCTCCAGTTCCTCATTGGCCTGGAGTAGAGAAAAGAACACTGCAAGACCTGGTTTAAATTCCAGTTCTGCCTCTAACTTGCTGTGAGGCCCTGGGCAAGTCTTAACTCTTCTCTAAGCCTCAGTCTCTTTAAAACATGGATAACATGCCTACTTCCTCTATAAAACAGAAAACAGTCATACCTATTTTTTTTTTTTTTTTTTAAGAATGGTTTATTTTGGGGCTGGCAGGGGGCATGGGGTTTAAGGCGCTGGACTCCCACATGGCCAACCGCAGTTTGAGTCCCAGACCTGGTGGTTTGCTTTCTTACTCTCCCTCTCTCTGTTCTTCCCTGGTCAAACTGAAGAATAATAATAAATTAAATAAATATTTTTTTTTAAAGAACTACTTATTTACTATTATTTTTTAATTTGACCAGAGACAGACAGCGAGAGAAAAAAAAGGGAAAGTGAGAAAGCAAGCCACCAGGTCTGGGACGCAAACCAAGGTTGGCCATGTGGGAGTCCAGCACCCCAATCAGCATGCGATCTGCCAGCCCAGTAACACCTATTCTTTAAAACAAACCCCCCAAAAAATATTTATTTAATTTTATTTATTATTATTACATTTTAATTTGACCAGAGAGAGAGAAAGCAAACTGCCAGGTCCAGAACTTGAACTGTGATTCGCCACCTGGGAGCCCAGTGCCTTAGTCACCAAGCTACCTGCCAGCTGCAGTAACACCTACCCTTGAGGGAAGGACTAGAAGACAGTGAGCATAAAGGGTCTTGATAAGGCCAGCCCCATAGCACACCAGTTAAGCCCTGTGCATAGGGAGCTGGATTCCACATAGTCAACTGTAGTTCGAATCCTGGCCCCAGTGCCTTGAAAAACATAGCACGCATGTGGGTATGTGTGCCCCGAATCTATTTCTGGGATAGAGAAATGGAGGGAAAAAGGACTGTGGTGTGACCATGCTCCATTGGAAGGTGCTTTCTCTCTCTCTTTCTGGGGAGCACACACACCCTCTGGAAGTTTTTGTTTGTTTTTTAAAACAAGGTCTTAGCAAACAAAGTCACTTCCATGTTATCACACTTCCTCCAGGACCCCACACACAAAAGGTGCTCAAAACAGCTGAGAAATGAATGGAGGAGGGAAGGATGTAATAAAGGTCTTGACTGCTTTGCCTTGCCCACAAGGCCCAAAGTTATGAACAGGTAAACTCAGCCCTCCTCCTCCAGACACCCTCTGCTGCCATTATTTCGGGGGTGCCGGCATCCCAGCCCTGAAACCGGTCAGAGCTTCCTGGCATGGGAACAGCCCAGCTTCAACACCTTTGCCACATGCCCAACACTGTACTGGGCATTCACTGCCCTTACCCCATCTAATCCTCACATGGGTGCAGAGATGGCCTGTGTTGTTACTGGCTCCATCTCCTCCAAAGAGAAAATGAGGCTCAGAGAAGTTGAGAGCCTTGCCCACCATCACACAGTACACAGAAGAGCTGAGATTTAAACCCAGGTCTGTCTTCACCATCACATTCAACTGACTTCCTCTTCCAGAGCGAAATCACGGCCAGCCCCTCCCTAGCTCTGACCACTAAACCCCCACTAATGAGACCCCAGGCAGGCCAGCACGTGGCTGAGCTGCTGTGTGGCCAGGAGGGGCCCCCACTCGCCGGTCTGGATGAGTCCGGAGCTACTGTCTCCGATGCGAAAGAACTGCTCGATGTCTGGAAGGACGCCTGCGAAGGAAGACACAGGATGGACCCGCCGCGCAGCCCACGCTCCGGGCCCCTCTCCTTTCCCCGAGCCTGCCGTCCTCCCGCCGGGGGCACCTACCCGCCACGGTGAAGCGGTCCATGTAGTTCAGGAGATTGATGTAGCACAACACCGCCACTATGAGAGCCGAATGGCCCGGGGACAAGCCCGTGATGCGCTGCAGCCTCTCCTGGTCCAGGACCTCGGGCTCCCCAGACTTAGGGTTCCCCACGGGTCCTGGAAACCCCGGGGTGCTGGGCACCGGCCCGTCGTCCGGGTCATCCGCCTGGCTGAGGAAGGGCGCGGTGTCGGACCCGGCCATGGTCCCGGGGGGCCGCTCCCGCCCGCACTCCGGTCCCACCGACGATCCCACCTGCGAGGGGAGGAGGCTGGAGAAAAGAGGGTGGAGGGAACCCAGGCGGAGGAAGTGCGCCCAGAAACCAACTAAAGTTTGCTCCGAAGCACAGTGCACGGCTGGGAAGCGACCCCGGCCCTGTCATGCCTCCCCTCCCATCACACACACCGCGCGGAGGGACACGTGGGACTCAGGTGATGTCGGAGGTAGGGGCAGGTGGAGGAGGGCCCGCCCCGCCCCCACACGAGCCCACCCCTCACCCGCGCAGGAGCTCACTGCACTCCAGGCTCAGCTCAGGCGCCGGCCGCCATGTTGCCGCGGGGCGGGTCATGTGATGCCGGAGCCGGGGCGGAGACGTCACTGCGTACGAGCCCTCCGCACGTGACCAGCCGCCGGGCTACGGAAGACTCTAGAGCGTCTTGGCAGGTCCCTGTGGCACGTGACTATCAGTCGGTCGGCGGGGTAACCAGGGACCCGCTCTCCAACCCAAAGCACATCTCTGTGGCTCGGTGGAATCGCCTAACCCTTCCAAATCCCAGGAGTCTTCTTGGGAACGCCAGCTCGGTGGGCTCCTTCTGGCTCCCCCGAGATCATGGGATCGCTAAAGGTTTTGGAAATGATAACGCTCTGATCATTCTCTTCCTCTTGGTGTCAGGCAGCTTCATACCTGCGTAGGAGGTGTTGAGTGAATGTACAGCAGCCCCTTCCCACTCATTCGGATTCCCCAACCCCAGATCCTTCACGGTGGACCTCTAAACCCCCCTTCAAACGAAGCTATCCCCCCCCGGGGGGGGGTGCAGGTTTTCCCTGACTGCACCCTGTGTTTACACCTGGCTCTGCAGTTAGTGACCGCGTGGTCGAGGACAGGGTCATTAATCTTTCTCTTCTGTGCAGTGGGAATAACACCACCTACCTCAGAGGGTTGCTGAGGATGGATGAGATTGTGAAAAGTGCCCACCCAGTGTTATGGCACCAAGTAAAGGCCCTTTAAAGTTTGAGTTTTAGAAAGATCACTTAACGAGTCTTTTAGACATGTGAAAGGATGAATGAATAAGCGCTTTCATCACAGAAGAAATGCAGGTTCTTTTACAATGGATAGTCCCCCATATCCTCCCCATCTGCGCAGAAGAGGAAATGAACCTGCTAATGGACTTCTAAGTTCAGCCACTTGGGTTAGTGCTATGGTTTGACTGCCCCCATCCCCCTGTGTCGGAAACTTAATCCCCATTCTAATTGTATTTAGAGGTGGAGGGCCTTTAGGTCATGAGGGCTCCACCGCCTTCATGAATGGATTAATGCTGTTTTTGGAGGGGGTTAGTTATGCCCAGAGTGGCCTTATTAGAAAAGTGGCTTTAAAAAAAAAAAAAAA